TTTTTTTAACCGGGCCCCGTGCCCAAGGCTGATATTACCAATAATAAGATTGAGGCCGGGGTCCTCACAGTCTGCGCGGAGTGATCGAACCAAAACTGCTGAGAACCGGGCTCAGCGTCCCTCAAATGGTTATGATGATGACCATGATGATACTGATGATACCATAGATAATGATGCTAATGAGAATGATAATTCAAATATTAAAAGAATATATAAATATTTTCAGCCTCCTGATGAGTCGGTGAAACTCCGACGAAACAGTTTGTCACAGCCCCTCGTTTGTTGTCCTCTTCTCCCTCTCTGCCTACGGTTTACCGGGCAGTTCTATTTGACGATATATATATATATGCTATATCAGCTATTCTAGTCTCCTAATCCCAGTACAACTACTAGCCCTCCCTGTACCAGGACACCATGTCATCCTTACGCAGGGGCCATACTAATCTTCTCTGTATCGTTCCAATTTTAATGGATGTCCTGAAGGCCACGTGGAGCTACTACTAATTAATAAAAAATATAAAAGGCAGACCAATGACTTATGTGTATACGTGCGATAGATACCTTTGTTTGTATGCAGTGTCGTATTATACGCTATAGCGAGTGCACCCAGGCAAGAGCCATGGTGGCCTTTGGCCTACACAGAGGCAAGGGCGTATGGAGCAAACTCAATTATTTTGTCATAGAAGATCAAGTCCGGTCTGCCTTGAAAAAGTTAGCAAGTAGCTAAATGGAGAAGATAGATGCACAATATCATATAGAGAAGATACTAGAGGTAGTAATAGTTAGGCTGCTAGAGCTCTTTCCAGTAGGCAACTCCTCAGATTTCCAAGTGGTTTTCCTTGACAAGATCTGACCATGCTCGGCGGATGGAAGGATACTCCGGAATATGCATTGTAGATTTTCGGCGACAAAGCGGCAGCATTTTCGCTGTTCCTTCACTTCTTTACCCGTTATCCGCTTGTTTCTGTCATGAATGTAGAAGCGTTCGACGTCCAGATTCTTCAATTCTTCTACCTTGAGTCTGTATTTAGTCAAAGGCCAAGGAGGCCCTGTGGTGTGGGTGCATCTTTTTTTTTTTTTTTTTTTTTTTTTTTCAATACCAAAACACCCCTTCTTTTCTGGGGGGCATCACCAACAAGCATAGAGTTCCAACAAAGGTGGGATAGAACAGAAGAGAAAGCCTTACCCTTGGGGTTCTAGACACCTGTCAAGGGGGGGCTGGTAGGTGTACCGATCCTCTCAAACCATCCACTTGTAGCGGGTTTGTGGGTGCATTTTACGCGACATTGATACTGACGTTGCCCCTCACGAAATGAGTTCTCTTATGTCGGCGCGGATTGTCAGATGCAAGTCGACGTCTCCTCTTTCGCCATCTTCAGTGTCCACACACTGGCCTTGACCCAAAAGGCATTGATTTAGGCTCCCTCCCATCTGCTGACTGAGATAACATGGTGGTGGTTGAAACAGGGCTGAAAACTCGATCCATTTTCCCTTTCACGTTGGCTGGAGTGTTGATCAGAGTCAGTTTTCTGATGCTATCGAGTGCCAGTCCTACCCATGCTATAAAGTTTTGCCTTGTTAACGCTTTAGCATACACTTTAGCATGGGTAGCATGGACTAGACATGGATAACACTCTATTGACTAGACAAGGGTATGCTAAAGATGTCTAAAGTCATATTTAGCATGGGGGGGTAGCATGGGTATGCTAAAGATGTTTAAAGTCATCTTTAGCATGTCTAAACTTCTAAAGTCATCCTTCAGTCCTATCCATGCTAAAGTGTTGTCAAGTCAATAGCGTGCAAAACTAAAGATGACTTAACTTTTGACTCCAAACTTGAGAAGTTGAAATGGAATCCTAATATGCAGTGATATGTCAAGGATCATGAAAGTAGTGTATGCTTGGAGTGCTGTATATGATTCATTTAATTTCAGCAAGGTTGCAACTTACCACCGTGTTTCCACCCCCATGTATGGTTAAGTATTTGAAACTTTGAACCCCAGCAGCACTTTTGGGCGTGCTCTGGTTGGAACCGGGCCCTTCTCACCCGTGGGGGTCCAATTTGGCCTAACACTGCCACCAGTTTTGTGTGGCCATTCTGTATAATGACACGTCCATAGGAAGGCCTACGGCCCACTGGGGCTTCAAAGCACCAGTAGATGGCCCCAGGCAACTCGAGAACAACGAGAGGCATTCTCCCAGAAATGTGGCAAGTTGCGGCAAACCGGATCAAAATGTCTGGCGACGTCAGTCAAAACGAAAACAAAAATGCCGCGTTGGCACTTCGGCAAAGCTGGGCGCACAGGGGGAATCTGCCTCGTACGAAAGATGCTTGGATGTGCTTGGCTTTTTTTTTTTTTTTTTTTTTTTTTAAGTAATCTATTTTCTTCTCTCAATCTATTTCATCTTTGTTGGTAGTACGCATCTATCGCATCCTCTCACTAGTCTATTTATAGTACGGGGGAACACCAACCAACCCGGATCTCTCCCCAGCCCACGGGGTAGGTTTGCAACTTTGCACCACAGCTGTGGTGCGAGAGCAAGGCTGTACCAGTCCCTCATCACGGTGACGAGGGGTGGGCAGGCATTGCCGATGGGGGAAATCGGTGGTGCTAGCGCCGAGCAATGGCCAGTCACTGCACCTCCCCCTTCCCCCCCCCCCAACCCCACATGGCGGTGTCTAATGGCCAATATTGTCGCTGCATAGCAGCCAACAACATCAGCCAAGGTCCTGCCAATGCTGGCTTGGGGGGCCAATGGGTTATCTCTAGCTGGTAGAACACCAAGCTTGCCCAGGCACGTACGTGGGGCCAATGGGGATTGAACCCACGACCTCCTGAATGCAACTTCTGTGCCTTACCAACTGGGCTAGGCCCGCAGGCCTGCTTGGCTGGTTTAAGGCACCAGTACACCACACATCAGCCCGCGGGTGTCAGCACGAAACCGGCACCACTTCGGAGGCGGCCGTGTTTTTTTTTCAACGGCGCCCCACGCCACGCGACCCCTCCGAGTTTTGCTTGTGGCGTCAAAAACTTTCTGCAAGGCTGGGGACATGTACTTGCGGTTTAAGGCCTTCCCTGGCCATAGGAGTTTGTGACTCGTTAGAAATCTTTACCGAGCTGCAGTGATGGTCCTTATGCTTTTTTTTTTTTTTTTTTTTTTTTAACCGGCCCAGGTTGCTAGTGATAATGATAAGAGCATCCATCAGTAGCAGCCCGGCTACGGGCTCCATTCCATTGGTGGGGAGCTGCACCTGCTGGAAACCGGGTCCAACGTCCCTGATACAAATGAATTATAATCATGGTTCGAAGAGAGAAGTGACAAAAAGAGGACTGCCTCTTCAGCCAAAATCTGGCTGCCAGATATTCCTTGTTCGAGCTAGCAGTATTGCCTCCTATCCTCCTCAAAGAAAACCTCATTCAAGCAGATACTCACCCCTCTCCATACCTCATAGAAACCCTTGTATTGCACAGCAGGAAGGAATCCAGGGGGTACTAAGATGATCTGAACTTGACTCAACACATAATTTTACCAATCTCCCACAGCATACCACTGAATATCGACCATCGCCAACTCAAAGGGGGGGAAGGGATCAAGAAAGCATTCGGGGGATCTGAGAGTGACTCCTGGCGGAAGTGAAAACCAGTCCTTGAAAATCAGGTGGAAATCCCGCTTTAGGGATTCCTCCTGCACCTTCCTTCCCGGCCATTTCACTTCCCCCAAACTTTCTCCTTCAGTTCCCCCCCAACCAGTTTAGATTGAATTGTTGAATACTGCTAATAATATCCTTTTTCTGCTGGAGCTGCTGTATCTTAGCACGGACTGCTAACCAATGTGACCGTATTTCCGTTTGTACGAATTGGACTATCAGGTGAGCAAATTTTGTTCCTTCTAATTTTACATCCTCTTTCATATACACACCTTTTGTACCATAATACCCATAAAATAGCTTTCCGACCAATTTCAACGTAAAATCTCTGAAATTTTGAAAGTTGTATATCAATTGGTTCCCAATAACCCAGGAGAATGACTCTCCAATCCCATGGCCAGTCAATCCCCGTTAGACCTCTCCACACACAGTCCCACCTTCCCAAGACCAATACCGTGCCCGGACATTGAATGAACACGTGTTCAATGGTTTCGCTGATCTTCTTATTGGGAAAGACAAATAGGCATGATTTACATCATGGTAGTGTCAGGCCTCGTTGCTCTAAGTTAGTATGACCAATAAGCCAGTCATTAGTGGGCAGACACCTATGAAGTATTTTCCATTGTAGCGAGGAGAACTTGGCCGGTCTCTGTTTTAGCTTGTTAAAGAATTTTATATTTTGGATTTTGTGCACGTCAATATTCAGATGTTTGACCCACCGGTCCCTTATTACAGATGGCACATCTACTCTTTGTTTCAACAAACGATGTACTGCCTTAACCGAGAGGGACTGCAAGGTGCGTGGTATAGTTCTCTTCCCAGTTTGCCATACCTATTTAGCTGGGTCCAAAGGTAGGTCCGGAATTGGGCATTGTGGCTGAAAGACTGCGAGATAAAAAGCATTCTAGTCCTAAAAATTTCTTTGAAAGGGAAAAACTTAACTTGGTTAGTTTGTGAAGGACGGAGCAAATGATTTGCAGTTAAACCACCAAAGCTCCTTCTTCTAGTAGACTCACTATTTGTCCCACCTGCCAACATTGTGGGTCATGTGCAATCGTTACAAAATCTTCTTCCTGAAATCTTACTCCTTTTTTAAGTTCCCTTACCTAGGCCAGAGGAATGGAACAAATGATGTGATCCAAGTTTTGGGCTAGTTTATGGGCATATGAAATTGTATTTTTAAGCTGATCAGTCGACATCCAATCTCTCTTTTCGTGGTCCTAAATGTCTTTGACCCGTACTACCCTTTTTTTCACCCACTGGGACCAGGGGTTTGAAGAGCTATTATAAATACAACCATTAGCATTGGTTATCCATTTGTTCCCGAATAAAGGTTGCCTCAATATTTCTTCAAATCATGCAGGATAAGGTTTATTTGGTAAGGGCAATTTCCGCTATGTTTTCATAAGGGAAACCTATAGATTGTCCACAAGAAGATCAACACGAGCTGCACCTCTCTCTCCTTCTAGCTTTGAATGTGCACACGGCTGAGGGATGCTTCAAAATCTGTTTTCCACCCAAGTGAGGGTTGCACCTCTGAAGGAGTACTCGGCGCCAGTCTTTTTATTTGTTCAAGAGCCATAGGTTGCCAGAGTTGGTCAATACCTAGAATGAGATCTATCATCCATTGTAAGGACAAGGCTTGACATTGCAGGGTAGGGTCCATAATTCCCAAACCTCCCCTAGATTTAGGTTGTATCAGGGTGGACCAAGCCACTCTGGGGATAACTCTCTCTAGTTCATAATACCCCCTCCAAAGAAAGGCCAACACTTGTTTTTGAAGGTGCTTAATCCGTGGCTTACCAATTGCCCAATGCGTTGATTTGTACCATATTGAGGCCAACACCACATTGTTAATTACAAGTGTTCGGCCAAAAAGAGAGGTGTGTTGATCTTTCCATTGATTCATTTTTTCTATAGCGGGCTTGCATATCCATTCATCATTGGAGACAGGTTTACCAGAAGCAGAAAGGGATACTCCCAGAACTCTCACAGGGGCCTCTAAAGGCAACCATTGTACCCTAGGGAACTTAGAAGGACGATCTCCATTAGAATAGATCCACCACCCTTGGGTTTGATGGTCCTTATGTTTGCTTGATTGAGTAAGAAATTCACCCTCAAATAGTAGGGTGGCTGGTGATTGGGGCCAGTGGTTGGAGGGTGTGTGAGGAAAATTTAAAATTTTTGAAAATTGAGAAGAACAAAAAGACCCTGAAAAGACCCTGAAACACCCAAGAGCCTACCTCAGTGGGGACACCCATGAACTGTTGACATACAGACCAGAGTTCGAATCCAGATGATGGTTCTAGATGAATAAAACCAGATATTGCCTGGGGCCGGTCAGCTCAATGATGATATCTCAAGGCCGTCGCCCTTTTGAAAAAAAAAAAAAAAAAAGAAAGACCCTGAAATGAGTCAACAAATTGGTTTCGTGAATTGCTTGACATTTCCTATGTTGGAATTTAAGCTTGTGTCAGTTGGTGGCCTATCCTGTCAGGTCAACCATTGGCTGCCGCTACCAGCAATCACCGCGGGTCTGGTCCTTGGCCTCTTAAAAAAAAAAAAAAAAAGGACTCAGGATAGATGCTTACCAAAAAAAAAAAGAAAAAGAAAAAAAGAGAGAGAATAGATGCTTACCTACCAATGGGCCTAGCGCAGCTGGTACGCCCATGAACTGTTGAAATACAGACCCAAGTTGGAATCCAGATGCAACCAGATGACCAGAAGAAAATACTTCTGAATTATCTGGGGCCGGTTAGTTTAATGATGACATCTCAAAGTCGTCGCCCTATATAAAGGAAAAAGGGGTTTAGAGCTTTAGTTGGTTGCCTCAGGGCCACAATACAGTAGCCATTTTATTTGTGCTTGCATTACCTTTTGCGAGGATTTCATCCCTAGGCATACCTGCATGTGGCCCTATAAGTAATTTAACTCACACCCAAAAACAAAAAATTAGAAAAACAATATAATTGTATTTAAAAGATCTTGCACTTTCTGTTCAGCCAGCATGTGCCCGGCCGAAGTGAAGGCGGGCCCCCGGATCTCAATGAGGTGTTGCATGCCCAGTCGGCCGATGTACATACATAGCCAAGGATCCGCAATGTGATAAAAAGGACTGAATGGACAATGCAGTGCTAGTAGAGTCTCAACAAGCAATGTATATCCTGATACATACAAAATGGCGCCTTGCAGTGCAGCGGAAGACTTAGATACAAGTCCTGACCTGACCGGGACTGACCTCTCTCACGTAGTACAAGACAGCGCAGCAGAATGCTAGAATACCAATGACTAGCCCAATCAATGTCGCAATACAGACCAAACATACATCATCCTCATCACAAGGTGTGAAGGGGCCTGGTGCTACACACAGGAAGAATGCGCCAGGTCCAGACCATACACAGACGAAGAGGAGGGGATCAGACGCAGAAGAAGGGGGGAGATGGGAATGTCGTCAACACCAAGTCTTCGGTACAAGTCCCTGATAATCCCTTGTCAAATGTCTGAAATCCAATGTCGAGTCTAGATCCAAATGTCACCAAGCCCACTCTCTCGTAGTCTGCTGATGCAGTGAAGTGAGGTAGCGAGAGGGTGCGAGGGAGATGGTGGACTGAGAAGAGGAAGAAGAAGAACTCTCTCTCTCTCATGTGCTAGGTACTAACCTGTGAAGATGGCGCTGTGCTGCAGGTACCTCGAAGACGAAGCTGGAGCTATGGCGCTGCAGGTAAGCTATGGCGCTGCAGGTAAGTCTCCCTGGCCTCCGCCCAATCTTTCTCTCTCTCCAGTACTACTCTAGCTCCTACAAGCGCCCAACGCTGAAGACTACTGCTAACGCTACTACTACTACTGCAGCGCTCCTCTAGAGTGATGCTGCCGAATCCTGAAGACTACCTCCTGCCTCCTGAACTGCACGTGAAGTGCCTGGGAAGTCCCTATGAACTACCTGCAGCCTGCAGGGCGGGCCAGTCCTACATCTGTCTCTTATACACATCTAGATGTGTATAAGAGACAGGTCCTACATAGTGCTGGCCCGTCCAGGAGGCTGCTCTTGCCAACGCCAAAATGTGCCGGACCCTGGCGTTGAAGCTCAACCAAAGGTTGTCTTGAAAACAGGCCCAAAATGGCCTGTGCTAAAACCCTGGTCTGGTGCCTAAGTTTCAGGGCAGGTCGATCTTATGAGGGCCTGAAAATGGCCCTCTGTTTCAGGTGAAACGACTCAGGGCCTGGAAGGCCCTGTTTTAGGCTGAAACGACACAGGGCCTGTAGGCCCTTGTTTTCAGGCTTTCAGGCTGAAACGACACAGGGCCTGTAGGCCCTTGTTTTCAGGCTTTCGGGCTGAAAACGTCACGGGCCTGAAAATGGCCCGTGCAGCCTGTTGCAGGTGCAGTCCCTGAATTGGTAGGGCACGCCTAACCATTTCGGTCCCAGGCCACTGTCTGAATGGGCCTGGGCGCAGACGCCTTGGCCCAACCTGAAGCTAGAGGGCACATGCGCGGCCCAGGCAGGCAGCAAAGCGGGCGAGCACTTTCCATTTAGGAAAGAGCTCGCCACCGGGGCGGACATTCGGGTACTTGGGTGCAAGGCAGCAGCGCTGCTTGAGCAATCGCTCGCGGYCGCTAGCGCTAGGTGCTGGACAACGTGCACGATCGCTAGAGAGAGAGAGAGCGCTGCAAGGAGGCAGCACTATAGCCCAGCCCCCATAGCTGGGCTTGGGCTTGGAGAAGGTCAGCCGGGGTTAGGCGGTGGTCCTGGGTGGAAGGAGAACCGTGGGGGAGAAGACGAGGATGAGCGGGAGAGGGCGAGTGATGGGGCGATGTGAGAGCACGTACCTGGTCCTAGCGATGGTCTGCATCAGCGAGATCTGCATGTACTTCGATTTCGGCTGCTGACGTCAACTGGTTGCTTGTCAATTTGTAGGCTAGTAGGATGGCTGTGTGATTGTAGTCTGGGCGCTGAGCGCCAGATAGGAGGAAGAGCTTCGAGCGCATTGTTGATGGTGGCGGAAGAATGTTTTCATTGACATTTGAGTTCGGTGCTTTGGTTCTCCTTTGGTGTAATATCAGTGCATTTCTGCTTGCTGGACAGCTTTTGACTATCTTGATTTCAATGTGATTTTGCAATCTGGAATTCTGTCTATTTCGCGATTGCTCATTTTCCTTGCACTTTATTGTATCGAGTTAAATTGAAACCATTCCTCCATATGATTCCAATCATTCCATGCATCCCTCGGTGCTTGTGGCCTCTTTCCCTCCCCCCCGTTTTGCACATGTGGGGGAAGTTCCCAGGATTGTTGTCTCGTTGGGCTTTGAACTCCTTACGTGTTTGTCAATATTTACATGTGCATATTGTGGCCTCTAACTCTGATCTATGTTCTTGTTCGTGTTTTCGCCAATTTTTTTTGTGTCCGTATGTAGCTGTTAACGATGTTTAATGTTGGGATTTGAACTCTTGATGTGTTTAATGCCCCTCTGTGTGACCAATATGGAAGCGCTCTAAGCCGCCGACTGCTCTCCTTACTGGAGAAAACTCTGGGGTTGGAATCAGGGTTCTTCAGTCAGCCTGGACGTTTCGATGCGCCTACCACGTTGCTGCGCCTCCTGCATTACACAGGTCAGTGGTGTAGTAACTACCAGTAAGCTTAGTTTCTTGCATCAAAAAGAAAAGGAAAAAAAACAAAAGGTGCTTTCATCCCGGCTTACTCCCTACATAGTCATTGACCCAACGATCTTAAGCCGCCAGTACACGGCCGCAGCCTTGCAGGAAATCGCGAGTTGCCAACTAACTCTGAACTTTTAGGGGCTCGGGCATAATAATGGACCACAATGGCTGGCGGCGCAAGCCAGAGAAGAAAAAAGTGTGCCACTGGCAGTTCGGAAAAGCTTGGCGCGCAGTGCAGTGCCTCCAGGCCCGGGTGTACTGGTGGTTTAAGTGAGGTCCTGGACTCCTGGACCCCATGGAGAACATTAGATAACATTTTCATCATCAAGCACAATGCCACTTCTGGGATCAGCAAACACACACTACTTCTGATTGACAGCAACATGTAAAGCTGCTCAGATAAGTCACCAGCGGTTAATCCTTAGCTTCATTCTAGGCGGGGAAGCGATTCGGACAGGCTCGGGCAAGAGTTTGAGAAATTGAGAGGGATGATTAAAGGAATGGCAAGTTGACATTTAATCCTCCAGAAATGGAGCAATCAATGACGTTCAGGAGTCCTTTGGTCATATGGACGGAAGCATGGATGGGTATTTATTGTAAAATTTGTCACTGGCCCGGGGAAAAGGAACCAGACTGATTCTCCTGAAATGGGTATGGGGGTACTATGGGGCCAGGGCCATAAGGACCTGTTTTTTTTAAAAAAAACAAGTAAACGCACTGCGGCTACGCCGCGGCAGGGGGGAACATACATGATTGAAGAAGTGAGTGAGACTCTCTCTCTCTCTCTCTCTCTCTCTCTCTCTCTCTCTCTCTCTCTCTCTCTCTCTCTCTCTCTC